AGGAAGAAGAAGAAGAAGAAGAAGAAGAAGAAGAAGAAGAAGAAGAAGAAGAAGAAGAAGAAGAAGAAGAAGAAGAAGAAGAAGAAAGAAAGAAGGAGGAGGAGGAGGAGGAGGAGGAAGAGAAAGGGGAGGGGAGGGGAGGGGAGGGGAGGAGTCCCCAAAACAAGAACAAAAAGCAAAGATGCCCAGCAGGGCTGACTTCCATTTTTACATCACCATTTAAGTACCAGGTGCCCAGAAATGGAAGCTGAGGCTTTCTCTGCTCCCAGGAGACCCTTACCTTAGGGAAAGCAGTAGCAGAGCCCATCTACCTCTGGCCTGTTCAGTGGGCGCTGGCCTCTGTCTTAGTAGTGGCTGGTTTGATGGAAGGTTAGACCAAAAAATAGCTGGTAGCACAACCACGCCCCACTCGAAGGAACCTTGACCGAGTCAGCTCCTCAGACTCAACAGTGGTATTGCTTCTTGCTCACTACTTGCCCTAGACAGGGATTCCACCTGCCTCAGTATCCCCATCTTGACCACAAGGTTCTGCATTCCTTCCCAACAGCACAGCAACTGGTCAGAAAGGCCTCCCAGTGGATGGAAAGAAAGAGGCTTGTGAGGTATCCTGTGGGCATCCCAGAGCTTGGGAGGCAGACCCTAGGTGGGGGAATGCACAAGGCAGTAAGTAGGGAGGGGGCCCAGACTCACCCGATGACATAGACCAGAACCACAAGCTGGATAAGCCGGAAGGTAACGCCCACCTTCTTGTTGCGCACGAGCACCATTCGAGGGGTGTCATACTCGAAGAAGAAGCCAGCCAATTCACCCTGCAGTCGCCGTACCATGGTGGACCAGACTGCGGCTCAGAACAGATCCCCCTTCACGGCCTTTGCTGTCACGGGGAACAGGGCATTGATACCCACGTCTACACAGTGGAGATTCGAGGTGCTTCTCAGCCCCAGGGAAAGCTGGGCAGGGCAAGTGGGGCCAGAGGTCAGGAGTCAGAGGTCAATTAGAGTTGCTTGGGTTGGGAGAGAGACTCCTGGGGTGGTCAGAGCTGCTCTGGGCCCCTGATAAGAAATAAACTGCGGACCAGCAGTGCCCGTGACAAATAAATCCCAAAGATAGACAGAGGCGGGGCCGATGGGGCCACTCAGGCCCAGCCCCACTGTCCCTCCTAGCTCCGCCTAGGCTCTGCTGGGCCTCCGGAAATGGGGCTGTTGGCCGGAAACCACCAACCACCAGTTACAAGGACAGAGATAAAGCTATCAGCCATCCCCCATTTGCCATGAACCCGACAGGACAGAGCTGGGGGATCTGGCCAGGGCCTGGGTGGGGAGCTGGGGTGGCCTCAGGCTAGCACTTCCCCAAAGCCAGGCATGCTCTCACACACCAGCTCCTCAGCTTCCAGGATGAGTAGCTCAGGCCCTGGGGGCTGCAGGGAGTCGGGAAGAAGACAGGGGATGGCAGCTTCAGGTCCTGCTGCCCACCACTTCCTGAGCTTGCCCACCCACCCTTTTCAACCACCCTTGGCCATCGGGCCTCAGACTCAGGCCTGGCCTGTGCCATCAACTGCAGCATTAGGCTGGCCTCTCGGTTTCCCAGGGCCCTCTCCATCCATCCATCTGTCCCGCCCTGGCCACACCCCTGACCACACCCACCCCTACTCCCAGCCTCCAGAGCTTGAAAAGAAGGCAGATTTCTAGGTAAGGCAAGGGTCACAGGTCACACAATGCTCTGGCCCCCTAATACCCAGCCAAAAAACCTGACATTAGCTATCCTCCACTCTGTCACTTGTCTGTGGATGTTGGGACATTGCCTTACCTCTCAGAGCCCACTTCCTCATTGAAAGGAGGGACCTTCATGGCACCAGGTCGAGGTCCCTGGAGGACAACACCAAAGAAGGAAGACTGGAGACCACTGCTGACTTTGGCATCCAGCCCCTGCCCACCTTAACAGTAAGCAAGGCCCAGAGCTGGATGCCGCTGAAACCCCAGCCCTTACTTTGCAGATGAAGTTCAGAGGAGCAACATGAGGAGCCCAAGCCTCCCTTGGGTGGTACTGAAGGCTCAAGTTTGATGCAGGGCCTCCCTGCACCCATCTAAGCTGCCCCACCATGCCACCATGCCGTCTGATAAGGAATCTCCTTCTGGCAGGATATTAGCTGGGAAATTACTCTGGGCAGGGAGCCAGGCTCAGGGCAGGGAATCCCAGGCACTCCCAACTGTCTATGAGCAGAGCTGCTTTCTGGACAGCACCGGAGCCCAGGCACTTCCCACCCCTCAGGCTCATCCCTGAGACAAAATCCATGCATCCCACAGACTGGCTGGCCAGTCCAGCAGAGACCTCTCCAGCTCACCTGTCTGACGCCACCTTCAGAGAGTGCTGGGAGAGAACAAAGTCCTGTAGGTTTTGATTTCTTATTTCTTAAATAACAGCATCTCATCAAGTTGTCCAGGATGATCTTGAACTTGCAGTCTTCTGGGCTCAGTATTCCAAATATAGGATTACAAGTGCACTGTAGTTCACTTTGCCCATCCTGCATTTTTGTAAGAAAAAAATCCAGAGATCGTGGGAGCCAGACCTGGGGCAAGCAGCACATCCCCTTGGGTTGCTCTTGACCCCAAATAAAAGAGCCTGCCCCTCTCTCAGCAGACCCCACAGCTGGGGCAATAGGAGGCCGGGAGCAAGCAGTCTGTGGTGGGAGTGGGTGTGTGCTAGGACAGTCAGCTCTTCCTGCCCAGCCTGCACCCCTGCTTCTCCCTGACACTCACACCATGTTCTGGCACTGAATGAAAATGAGAAGAAGGAAGAAAGATGAGACAGGAGGAAGCCTGGGAAGGAGGGAGGGAAGAAAAGGAGAGGGAAGGAAGGAAAGCAGTCACTGCCCTGGTCTGTACCTCTCACACCCCTTTCATCTCCTCCTTCTCCTCCTTCTCCTCTTCCTTCTCTTCCTTCACCTTTTCCTCCTTTTCTCCTCCTCCTCTGTTCCTCTTCCTTCTCTTCTCCCCACTCCAAGAAAGACAGATAGGTAACAGACAAGCTAGTTTGGGGTACACACGTGCCTCTGTCATGGTCCAGGTGTGGACACAGAGGAGCTTTGCACTGGGAGACTTCAGCAAATCCAAGAGTGACAGAAGACAAGTTTCTTTTCTTGTTAATAATTCAGCAAGAGTAGGCCAGCCCACTCACAGTTAGTGTCTCACTGTTTCTAAAATGCATCTTTCTTGTATTTATCCCCAACTCCAGCATCCTCAGGGACACTGTGTTCATTCTAGGCTTCTTCAGGGACACAGGTAGACAGGTCAAAAATCCAAATTTCACATGCTAGAATTTGGCAGGATTTCTCTGTGAGGTAGGTACTAAAAGGTAGGTACTAGTACCCCCATTATACAGATGCAGAAACTGAGGCTCTGGAAGTTGAACACCTAGTCCAAGGTCACAGAACAAGTAGTTCTCATGTCCAGTGATGACTGGGAAAGAGGCTCCCCAAAGTCTGAGGGCTTGGCTCAGGGCCCACTCAAAGACTCCAGCACTTGAGATCTGCTAGACCTGCCTTATAAGCCCAAAGGCTGGGTTGCCGGCTTGGGTTTTGGGCCAGGCCTTGTAGGGATACAAGGCCCTGCTGCCAAGCACTCGGCCCCAGGATGGCCTCCCCTGCCTGGCTAAATTTAGCGGCTTTGTGGTGTGTGGAGGGGGCTGGTGCCCATCCTGGGGCTACTGCCCAGGCCTGGAGGCCAGCCCAAGCCCTCCAGGATGTGGACACAGGCTCCAATCGGCCTCCTTAAACACTCAGGGTTCTGAGGATACAGGGACCACACCTCAATCCCACACCAGTTGGGCCTGCCTTGGCGCCCCAGAGGCTCTTCCAACGCAAATCCCTCCAATGCCACTGGGACAAGGCCCGGGCTGCCCTGACAGAGTAAAGGGATGTCTGTACCCAGGGCTGGACCTTGGCACCGCTGTGCCCTGTGGGGTGGGCTTCTCTTCTTGTCACACAGCTTCTCAGACTGTTTCCTTCCCCCTCCACAGGCCACAATGAAGTAGTGTCCAAGGAGTGGCATCTGCTATCCTCCCTCCTTTTGGCTGTTTTCTCTCAGGTCCCCAGAAAGAAGGGGTCTCTAGGGGCTGGGCTGACACCCTGCTAATCCAGCACCGAGCACTCACTCAGGAGGCGCCGCCATCTCCTCAGCTCCCGGGGTGTGCACACCTTCATCCCCACACAGAATCCCACTCCTGCTTTCCTCCTCTCTGTCTCCTGCTTTATTTTTCTTTTAGGACAGGGTCTCTCCCATACTCTTATGTGAAATGAAGTAGGACACACACATTTATTACCACGTTGTTTCTCTGGTGTGAGAAACTGCAAGTGGAAGTGAGGACCAAAAATTATAGTGGGTATTGGTAAATGGAGAGCAAATGTTAAATGAGAAGGGCAGCAATGAAGGGAGGAGGCGGAAAGGAAAAAAGGGACAAGAAAAAAAAAAAAGAGAATAAAAGAAGTAATGGAAAGTATGAAAACAAAGTAGAAAAAGTAAAGCCATATTAATATGCTGAGCTGTAAAAAGCTCAAGTCAACAACTTTGGATATTGCCAGTCTTATGGAAAACCCACTACTATTATGGACTACTGGACTACATTGGGAGATTCTGCTGAATTCAAGCACCTACAATATTTAAATGACAATGGAATGTCCATCTCTGACAAAACTAGCCAAAAAAGTGGGATAGAAATGATTGACCCTTTTGTATCTGTATACTCAAAATAGGATATACAGCTCCATTCTCTTAATTCAATGAACAGAGAGGTTTGTTCTAATAGTGTTCGAGGCAGGATATCGTGTCTGCATCTTGTACAATGAATAACCACTAAGACAACAATATGCAATGTATTAATTATTGAAAATGTGCCAGTAATTGGTTGTGAAACTGTCTCACTGATATTTGTTTCTCAATAAAATTATTTTTAAAAAGAAATAATGGAAACAAAGCTTTTGTAAATAAGGATAAGAGGGGTTGATGGAAGGAAGGGGAATGAGAAAAAAAGAAGTAAGATGTATCATGTACAGGTGCAAATTCCCTATGATGGGGCTGGGGATACAGCTCCGCAGCATAAGCACCTGCCTGGTAAGAGCAAGGTCCTGAGTTCAATCCCCAGTACAGTCAAAGGGGAAAAAAAAAATTAGGGGTTGGTGAGATAGCTCAGTAGAATAAATGCTTGCCTGGCAAGTGCAGGGTCCTGAATTCAATCCCCAGTACCACAAAAAAAAAAAAAAAATCCCTATGATGAATGTGATCATTATGTATATCTATGTTATCTATATACCAAAAAAAAAAAAAAAAAAAAAAGACAGGGTCTCTCTTTGTAGTTCAGGATGGACTTGAACTCACAGCAATCCTCCTGCCTCAGCTTCCTGAGTGCTATGTGCCATTATCCTCAGCCATTTTTCCCCTTTCAAATCAAACTGATTGCAGTGCAATTAGCATATGATAAAATGTGCCATTTTAGCTACTCTGGAGGCTGAGACAAAGGACGGTAAGTTAGAGGCCAACCTGAGCAACTAAGCAAGACCCTACCTTAGAAAATAAAAAGGCATGAGGATACCACTCAGTAGTAGAGCGTCTCTGGGTTTGGTCCCCAGTATCAACACACACACACACACACACACACACACACACACACAACCAGCTTCTGGGTGCACAATTCCAGCACTTGGGGGCTGAGGCAGGTGGATTGCAGGCTCAAGACCAACCTGGGCTACACAGGGAGAACAAGGCCAGCCTGAGCATGCAGCAGTGTCACAGGGAAGTGACTCCCAACCCATTAGCTGTCAGATGCATTGAGTTTGTGTCTCTCAATAACTAAGGAATGGATACAGGGACAGGGAGACCAAGAGTAGGAAAATTTTATTAAGAGAAAGCCACTGAGAGATAGAAGCAGTCTTGAAAGGGGGTTGCCACCAAGGCTCTTTGTCCAGGCATAATTTATACACAAAATCACGATCTGGGTTACTACAGGTCAAGCTTCAGTCAACCTGTAGGATTACAAGTACAGTATCTTAGCACTTCAGCTTGTCTGTAACTTTTTTTTTCTTTGCGGAACCGGGGATTGAACTCAGGCTCTTGCACTTGCCAGGCAAGCGCTTACTCTACTGAGCTATCTCCTTGGCCCCTATAGCTTCTGACATAAAGATCAAAGATGTTTCAGGGAAGGGATAGAATACGGGTCAGGACAGATGCCTCAGTTAGGCTCCCTGGACCAGGCAGTGCTGATTACAACCCCCAGCTGTGCTCCATCTCCGGGGAGGCCCACAGGCCTGGATCTCTTCCAGTTCATCCCGTCACCGTTTAGAAGCATCTCACCTGCACTGACCCGTTTGAGGGCTCTGTGCCTTGCTGCCTGCCTGTTAACTTCTCTCTAACTTAACTGTCTCATAGCAAGACTCTGTGTCAAAACAAAAACAAAATTTTAAAAAGGGGAAAGAAAAAAGTACCCAGGTTTCCTGAACTCTGACAAATGCATGTAGCCATCCCTCCCCGATCCTGGCATTCCAGAAGGGTCCCCCTGCTCATTTGCTGTCCATCTTTGCCAGCTCGCAGGCCTGGGTATCACTGGTTTGCTCTCCCTTACAGAACTGCCCTGCTTTGGCCAGGTGTGCTGGCTGTATGCCTGTCATCCCAGCATGGGGCAGCCCAAGGCGGGAGGATTGCAAGTTCAAGGCCATCCTGAACTATGTAGTGGGAGCCTATGCGAAAAAGAGAAAAAGAGGGGCTAGGGAGATAGCTCAGTAGAATAAGTGCTTGCCTGGCAAGTGCAAGGGCCTGAGTTCAATTCTTTTCTAGAACTTCATAAAAGTGGAATCACAGTGTCCGGCCTCTTCCAGAAAGTCAGCGCAGCGGTTTCCAGCCTGCTCCATGTTGTGCTTGTGTCCACAGGTCACACCTCTCTGATGCACAGCAGTGTCTGGTGTGGACACTGCAGTTGGCTCAGCTTTCATCTGTGGGTGGTCACTGTGGGCTCTGTATCGAGCAATGCTGCTGCGGACACCAGAGCTGTTGGGTGCATGTCTCCCTCTCCTCCTGCCTCTGGTCTTGCGCCTCCGCTCTCTTAGCTCGCTGTGCAGCTCAGATTCCTTGTCCCTCATGGGGAAGGGGGACCCAGGGGCATTTTGGCAGCTGCCACCAGAGCCAGACAGGAGCGTGCTGGGGCCTGCCCCAGAATTCCCTCCTGGGTGAGCACTGTGAGGTGAGGAAACCTCTCTGTTTACCTTGGCCGCCCTGCCCTGGCCTGTGGACTCCATGCTGTGGCTGGATGGAGCCAGACATGGGCAGGCCGGGGTGGGGGTGGAGGGGGAGCAGGCCTGGCCAGGGAGTTCAGGAGGCGGTGGAGGAGGCTGGAGTCGCACACCTTTCACACCATCGGCCCATCCCAGCTCCCCGCCCTGCTGGTCCCCTGTGATGAGGCAAGCCAGGTGGCCAGAGCCTTGGAGGGCCTTGCTTGCTTCGCCTATCACTGCAGTCCTACCCACTGCCTGGCCCATCCCATAGGGTTGGCTGGAGACCAGGGGAAATGAATGAGGAAACCGACCATTGCAGATGGCCCAGATGACCAAGGGAACCTTCTGCCTACCGCGGCCCAAGCCTCCCTCCCCAAACCTGGCTGCCCCTCAAGGTGAAGTCTGTCTGCTACAGCTGGCTGCATGGGCTGGCCACCTGCAGACACCAGGCCAGTCCTCAGAAGGGCCCTGTGCTTGTCTTAATGCTCTGCTGTCACTTTTTTTTTTTAATTGGTGCTGGGATTGATCCCAGGGTTTTCACACTGACCTACAACTCCAGCCCATTTCTATTTAAGACCAGGTCTCACTAAGGTACAAAGTTTCCCAGGCTGGGGTCCAATTTTGTAGTCCTCCTGCCTCAGCCCCTCAGTGTACTGCGATTATGGTAGCATTCCATCTCACCCACTCATCTCTGTCATCCTCCATGACTTCTTGTGTGTGCGGTGCTTGCTGGGGATCAAAAGCAGGTCAAATGACCGGCGAGCTAGCTATACCTCAGACCAGAAATTCTTGATTTTTGGATAGAGGGGTCCATAGTTCTTATTTTGAAATAGGCCCTGAAGATTATGCATTGTTTGGACCTGCGTCTGGCCATCTTAGCCCTCCCCTCAGGACAGCTGGGGAAAGCACTACAATAAATAAGCCTTCGTATGTCTTCTTGCTAGAGAGAAGAATCAAGGGACGTGGCTCCCAGGAGGGCAGCACCACCTGAGCCCTGCCAAGGCTCTTGGGATACTGTAGGCTGAGGGAAGCCTCGGTAGGCTGCTGTTGTACTTCTGATATGGGTTTAGGAGGGCCAAGGTAGGCAGGATCCTGCTGGGTGGAGGGGAGGGAAACAGGGAAAGCTCAGGCGGGTCCCAGTGGATCCCGACACAACTGCCAGGGCCAGGAGCAGGCATCCTCTACGCAGCACAAGTTCTGACATTCTAAGTCTTGGTCCAGCCAGCCCTGACTCAGGCTAAGTCCTAGACCCTCTCCCCTCCCTTCCTGCCCCCTGCCCTGCTTTCCTTAGAGGTCATGCACAAGCCATAACGTTTCTTCATCTTTGGAACACAGCAGTCAACTATCAGTGCTATTCTTGTGACAGTCATGAGAGTCAGCCTGTCCTATATCTGCCACTGGGATGTGGTCTCCCCAAAGTCAGTCAAAGCCTTGTCTTGGAGGAAGATGTGGATCCTGGCAATTCAAGCAGTCCAGATCTTTGCCTTCCTGGAGTACAGAGGTGGGCAGGCCCCATGTAGACACCCAGACAGATGGGGCCCATGCTTCAGGAAACAGCTGCAGGCACAACACTGCCCCATACACACAGTCTTTATTTCTCTACAAAATGGCAGGTATGTCAGCAGGTGGGTGCAGGGCCCTGCCACAGGCATGACTCTCCCGACTTGGTTTCTTTCATGGCCCTTCCAGAACTCGAGAGAGAGAGGGGAAGGAGGAGGCCGTGGGGTAAGGAGCTCTGCAAGGGTGACCCCATTTGTCTGCAAGACCAGCTGAAGGGGCTTGTGATTCTGGGGACTAGCACAAGGATGTGAATCTTGATTCACATATAAAATAATCACTTTGTGCACTCTCAAGGAGGGGTGGAGACAGACACTGTTCTTTGCTACAGCTAGCTGGTTTTTGCTAAAGGAGCAAAAGTAGAGTTATTAGAAAAACCCGTCCATCCAGTGTTGTCTTCTACCACTTGACACAGACTCACAGATGTGCTGAATTCCTCCAGCCCTGAGGGACTGCAAGAGTCCCAAGTAATTATCCTTCCTGATATCCTGCTAGCTCATGGGTGTGTGAGTAGGAGGGATGGACAAAGAGGGACGCCAAGAGTGTAGGAGACTCAGCATCACCGAGCTGTGCCAGAATGGTCACTCAGGAGGGCACAATGGTCAGGCACCCGTGGGTGCCCAGGGACATAAACAGGTTCCTTCTCTTGGCAGACCAGGCAACCCTAAGCTGCTTGCTTAGGATAGGGAAACCTGAGTTGGAGAAGTAAGCCAAGCTGGGTCAGGTGGCCCAGTGTCTCCTGGGAAAGAGGGTCCTTGCCAGCCCCTTCTCCCAGCACCTTGTGTCCTCCCTGCCCTTCAACCCCCTGATGCCTGGAGACAGGCTCCAGCTCTCAGGAGGGGACAGCCGAGTGAAGGGGGCTGCCGGCCTTTCTGTCCACAGCTGGGCCCAGATGGCCCCTTGGGCCTCCCTCTCTGGGCCAATCAGGTTCCAGGCTAGGCATTAAGAAGTCAGAGTCAGTCCCAAGGGCCCCAGGAATCCTCTGTCAGTGTGGAGGTCCTGGTCACCAAGTAAATACCCATCCTCTAGCAAGGGGAGCATCTCCAGGATTCCCCGGGAAGGGATTCCACCTCTTGTGATCTGTGCCAGCTCTGGCTTCTTAGAAGCCCCAGCCAGAACTTCCCAGGAGGGTCCAAGAGAGACAGACTACCGAGCCTCCAGCTCAGACAGATGTGGGGACAGGGACCCGCAGCCTGGGCCTGGGCCTCAGGGTGGACCTGCAGCCTGGGCCTGGGCCTTGGAGTGGCTGTCTTGGCCTCAGGCAGGGTCTGGTGGCAGGTGGGTGGGCTCAGTGGCAGGGGAGGGAAGTGAAGGCAAAGCTTGGGCACCATCAGTCTGAGGTTGTCACTGGAGGCTCCGCTCGGTTCCCAGCATTCACTTCGGGTCCCTTTTTTCTGGAAGACAAACCGGAGAGCATTCAGGCAGCTCCTTCCTCAGCCCTTTCCTGTTTCTCTGTGAACAGCCCAGGCTCCCAGAGCCTCCTTCCTCCAGATCCTGGCCTACCTGCAGCCTCACTGGCCCTCTTGGGTTGCAGTCTGGGGAACACAGCTGCTGCCTGGCTGTCCTTTCCTGTGTGCTGCTACTCCTCCTGCATGCCCCGTGTCCATCCACAGCCCTGACCCACCCCAGAAGAATTGTCCTCTTGCCTTTCACTTTGGAGAACCAGCCCCCACCATCAGGAGGTCCAGAAAAAGGATCATCCTTGCCGCCTCCTCCTCCATCCCATACTCCCTGGCCTAATTTCAGCTAATTTGCTCCAGCTGATCTTTTCTTTCGCTTTTCCCCTCCCTCAGGGCTTCAAGCTCTCAGGGTCCTGCCCACCCTATACACATGCCCTTACTGCCACATTTCTGCTGCCAGCATCATGCCAGGGATCAAATCCAGCCCTGTCGTACCCTCCCATGGTCACCCACTGCCTTCAGAATGAAGCCTAGGCCTGCCTTGTACCCTGGACCCTTCCAGATCTGCCCCATTCTGCCACCCCAGCCCTTTCCTCCCCAGGTCCGGCCCTTGACAGCTGTTTAGCCACACCTGGGCAGAGCCAGGGGTGGGACCAGAGGACCCCCTCACCCAGCCCACCGAGCACCAAACCTGCACCCACAGCTCTCCCCAGGACACATCCCTCGTAAATGACCAGGAAGCCACGAGCATCATGCTTCAGCTAGACTTCCCTAAAAGGCTTGGGAATGTAAAGGGTCCCCTCTTTCACCTCCGCCCTGCCTGGCTTTAGGAGGCCCCGGGGACTGGAGCTGCCCACGGCTCAGGACAGAGCCAAATGGGCTTCCAGCAAGCTTGTCCCTCTCTCCACCTCTCAGACCCAGCTCTCCGTGCCCAGCTGGGTCCCTTCTGATAGCCAGATCAGACTTCATGGGGATAACAATCCACATCTCTGGTCAATGGTGTCACCCGGAGCTAGCTCAACACTTGGTCTCCTCTGCAGACCAGCCTCCCTGTCTTCACTGTCACCTCCTCCAGTCTGTTTCCCATGGTTGCCACACCCTCCCCACTGCCCAGAAGACAATGGCATTCAGGAGCCAGGCTGCCTCTGCCTGGACACCAGGCTCAGCTCCATCAGAGCCACCCCCCCCCACCATGGCCGTATCTGTCCTCTCACACCTCTACATTAACCCCGAGTCTTCCAGGCAGCACCACAATCCCAGCCGGGCAGCCCTTTTCACTTGCCCACCCTGCACCTACCTGGGGCATCCACAGAAGGGGAGTCAGAATCGGAGCGGGCATGGAGGGTGGCAGAAGGCCTGGTCCAGCTGCCCCAACCCCATCCCTTGTGCTCTGCTTTGGCTAAGCACCAAGGTGAGCTCATGACAGAACTGTGGGAGACCAGCTCTCCACAAAGAGGAGACCGACCCATTTTTGGCCCTTTTGAAAAGATACATTTTTCACAGGCTCAGTAGGAATGGCCCATATGAGGGGTATGGGGGCCAATTGATTGCCTTGGCCCCTGTGGAATGACAGGCATGTGATTTATTTATAGCCTCCCCCACTTCCCTGGGCAGGGACACATTCCTGCCAGAAGTGGCCCCCAAAGACCCAACTGACAAGCAGTCCTCAGCCATTGCCTGGCCCAACCTAGGCCTTTCTGCAGCAGTCCAGCCTGTTCTTCTGTGGCCCCTGCCACTCTGTCCGCCATTCCTGAGTTGAAGCAGACCCTACCCTGGCACCCACCCACGAGATGACACCAAAGAGGCCAACCCGGTGTGGTCTGGGGTCCGAGCGGTAGTCAGCGGCTGCCTACTCCAGGCCTGCAGGACTGTCAGGAGAATGCCTGGATAAAGTAGGCCAGCAGAAGGGTCAGAGGTCAAGGCCCCAGCAGGGCACAGCCTCCTGGCTGTCTGGGGGATGGTGGCAAGCGAGGCCAGCGTGACAGCACGATCCTAAGCAGTGTTCCCATTGGTGGCCCAGTGAGTCCTCAAGCCCTGCAGCAGAACAGCCTGAGACACCTCAGATGATAGTCCCAAGTCCCCTCGTGTCCTCCACTTTGTGACCCCAGTGCACACAGGGAGGCTATAAGCAGCATGGTGGCCCCTGCAGAGGGCAGAGGCAGGCAGGGAGGTGGGCGCAGGCTGGCGGGGGCAGGGAGGAAGGTGTGGCCTCCACTCACCGTCCATGTGATGGCGAGACAAGTACTTGAGGACCTCATCAAGCAGGATAACGGGCAGGGATATCTGGAGCACCACCACCCACTGGCGCCCACTCAGTGGAGTCACCTGGAAAATGAGCTGCCAGAGCAGGACGGGTGGTGTGGTCACAGGAAGGACTCCAGGCCACCCTGCAGCCATCTATGCACTTTGCTTAGATGCCAACGAGCACTTCTAAGACACTCCTTATGTCCCACCTCCAAATCTCCATCCGCTGGGATTCCTTGGCCAGCAATGTGCCCTCCAACCCAGCACAACTCACAGGACAGAACCCCATCCCTGCTGTTGGGAAGTACAAGGACTGTGCATTAGGGCTGGCCAAATAGCTCAGTAGGTTAAAGCACCTGCAAGCAGGCACAGGGGCCAGGGTTTCGATCCCAGGGCCTGCCATGCTGGTCCTGCCCTTGGGGTGTGCTGAACTGCAATTGAGACTGGGCATGGTGGCATGCGCCTGTAATCCCAGCTCTTGGGGGGCTGTAAACAGTAGGATCACTACAAATCCAATCTAGTAGTGAGACCCTGAATACCCTGTAGACCCTTCCCTAAAAAAAAAAAAAAAAAAAAAAAAAAAAGTCTTTGGGCTGGGGAAATAGCTCAGTAGAATAAGCACTTGCCTGGCAAGCACAAGGGCCTGAGCTCAATCCCTTTT